TGCCTGTGGGACTGGAAAACTCTGCCTTTGGCCTTTGACCTTTGATGTGGTCACCACACAATTGCCTGCTAATAGATGAAGTGGCCAGCAGGTGCAGCAACACTGAATTCTTCACCAAACTCTGAGACCAGAGGAGTCAGCTGTCCTAAAGACCTTGACCTTCCAGAAGCCACTTCTTTTTTTTTTTTTTTTTTAAAGATTTATTCATTTATTTGAAAGGCAAAACTACAGACAGACAGAGGGAGAGGCAGAGAGAGAGGTCCTTCATCCACTGGTCCACTCCTCAAATAGCCACAGCCACCAGGGCTGGGCCGATCTGAAGCCAGGAGCCTGGAGCTTCTTCTGGGTCTCCCGCATGGGTGCAGGGACCCAAGGACTTGGGCCATCTTCCACTGCTTTCCTAGGCCACCGTCAGGAAGCTGGATCGGAAGTGGAGCAGCTGTGTCTCCATCTGGCACCCATATGGGATGCTGGCGCCACAGGCAGAGGCCTAACCTGTCATACCACAGTGCTGGCCCTGATGCCATTTCTTTTTATCAGCAGGTGCATGTTATCCTTAAAAGGAAAATGTTGGCAACATGTGTCTTGAGAGGGAAAGAAAAAGTAGAATGGGCTATCTGTCCCTAGACATCTGTCAGATTCACCATGTGTTAGTCAGAATTCTGTCCACTATATCCTATTAGAGAAGAACTTAGCACAAAGCAGAAAATATCACACTGATTTTAATTCTCCTTAATGCTTTGTTAAAAAGTGGAAAACATAAGGTGAATTTTAAATTGTGCAGAATCTGGGATGATAGATGTCAGCCGGAAGAGTTCCAAGTAAACTAGGATGCATGGCCAATGTAGTAATATGAGTTATTTTCAATTGTAGACGTTCAAAAATTAATCAGTGTTGGTGATTAAATAAGGAGTTAGAAATTTAAAATAGCATTTTATCTACCCAAATACAAATGATCAGAAAAGTGCAAATATTAGAGTAGTTATGAACTAATTCCATGGCATTTAAAAAGAGTTTTATTTATTTATTTGAAAGCCATAGTGATAGAGGGACAGGGGGAACAACAGAAAGAGAGAGATCTTTCATCTTCTAGCTGACTCCCCCAGTGTCTGCAATAGCTTGATGTGGGCCAGGTCACACACATAGGTGGCAGAAACCCAGGTACTTAGGCCATCTTATACTGCCTTCTAGGTGTGAGAGCAAAAAGCTGGATTAGAAGTGTGGAGTAGCTGAGATTCAAACCAGTCTCTCCCAATGTGGGATGCAGGCAACTCAAGCCGTGGCTGAACCTGCTGCATCACAACGCCTGTTCCTGGGGCTTTTTCCCCTTATGGTCAGGGTATAGGTTTGAGTATTAAATAAGTGAACAATAATTACAAAGCAAAGATTGCTAGAATAGAGCATGCTGTCCCTGTGTCTAGTAAGTCATCAAAGGTTAACCCTGTTCAGTTCATTACCCTTTAGCACTGTGTTACTTTTTTTGTGTTGAGTTCTTTCCCCATCCTGGCTATATTTTGATCTTTTCTATGTCAGTGAGACAATATTCCCACTCTTTTTTTTTTTGACAGGCAGGAGTGGACAGTGAGAGAGAGAGAGACAGAGAGAAAGGTCTTCCTTTTTCATTGGTTCACCCTCCAATGGCCGCTGTGGCCCGGCGCACTGCGGCCAGCGCACCATGCTGATCCGGAGGCAGGAGCCAGGTGCTTATCCTGGTCTCCCATGCGGGTGCAGGGCCCAAGCACTTGGGCCATCCTCCACTGCACTCCCGGGCTACAGCAGAGAGCTGGACTGGAAGAGGAGTAACCGGGACAGAATCCGGCGCCCAGGGTGCTGGTGCCGCAGGTGGAGGATTAGCCTATTGAGCCACGGCACCGGGCCTCCTACTCTTTCAAGTTAAGTATACAGCCTTCCTGGGGCTGGTGTTGTAGTGTAGTGGGTAAAACCGCTGCCTGCAATGCCTGCATCCCATGTGGCTGTTCCACTTCTGATCCTGCTCTCTGCTAAGGTGCCTGGGAAAGCAGTGGAAGATGGCCCAAGGGTTTGGGTCCCTGCAACCGTGTGGAAGACCCAGAAGAAGCTCCAGGCTTCAGGCTGGCCCAGTTCTGGCCTTTGTGGCCATTAGAGGAGGGAGCCAGCTCTGTATCTCTCTGTAACTTTGCCTTTCAAGTAAATCAATCTTTTTTTTTTTTTTTTAGAAGTATACAACTTCCTTTGGTACTTGCTTGATTGTATACTAGAGCTCTTACTGATTACTCTCCTGTTGTTGATCTTGTATCTTATTACACTTCAGTGACTTCCATCTACCTATATGAATAACTTCACATATGATCACTGACTATGTTTGGCATGACCTCCTGCCTACCACTACCCATCCACCAAGTGTGGCAAAATCCTCAGCTCAGGCATTCATTAGTTTGTGCTGCGCCGATCCGAAGCCAGGAGCCAGGAGCTTCTTCTGAGTCTCCCACATGGGTGCAAGGGCCCATGGACTTGGGCCATCTTCCACTGCTTCCCCAGGCCATAGCAGAGAGCTGGATCGAAAGAGGAGCAGCCGGGACTCGAACCAGTGCCCATATGGGATGCCGGCACTGCAGGCCAGGGTGTTAATCCGCTGTGCCACAGTGCTGGGCCCTCTCTGACTACTTCTCCAGTAGTCCTCCCATGACATAGAAAGCCTGGTTTCTGTGCCTTTTTAAAAATGTGCTCTGTAGCATCCTAAACTAACAGTGCAGAAATAAATTCAAGTTTCAAATGCTAATTTCACCTATAAATTCTAAGTCTCTTAAAGACAGGGACTCACAGAGCATTCTATTCATGGACATTGCCATATGGCCTGATATAGGCTATGATAGACAATAAATCTTCAATATTTACTGGGGAAAAAAAAAGACTGTGTAATGTAAATGGAGAGATCATTTCTACCGGAGCAAACCAGCGCTCTTCCAGAATTGCTACCAGCTATCACATTTTATTTTGTATAGTGCTCCTTTCTCATAGCACTTGGTGATGTTCTCTCAAGGACACTTACAAGTATTTTTCTAATTTTGCTTAAGATGGCAAGCTGAGACGTTTCCCCACATAAGGGCTCATCAAAATGACAGTGTGAAAGTATACAGAACAATGAGTAGCCTGTAGCAGAAGTACGAGGAGGTGACAGATTCCAGCCTCTCAGACAGGATGGAACCATGTGGACAGACAAAACAGGACGGGGGGAGGGCTTGCTCAGGTTTGATCATTGCTGACTGGGCTGCAACGGAGGTTATACATTTATACTTTTTGGTAACGGGGAAGAAAAAGGAGGGGTAATTGCAAAAAAGTGGATTAATTCGAGATGTATCGGTGGAAAGCATTGCCAGCTGCACCCACACTGTTCTTTCCTGTCCTGGTAGACAAGCTCTCTAGATCTCCTCTCTGAAGATGAACTTTCAGGGACAACCCGGCTGTGGGGTTGGGAGCACTGTCCCAGACCAGAGTCATTCTCACCTTGGCTGCTGTGGCATTCACGGGCCAAGGCTGCTGATTGTCTTTCTAGTTCCACTAGAGGACAGTCCACCCATGTACAGAGATGGCCGCACTCCCTTCAGGAAGTCTGTTGAGAGAAACATGCCTTACAAACGTGCAGTCGGTGAAATCCACTCTGCTGACAATAAGCCAGCTCCTCAACTCTTTGCTGTAAGTAAACCAACAAGGGTCTCCAGACATGAGGGGAACAATAGCACGAACAGGAGCGATTAAGATCGCCAGGAACTAAGGTTCAAAATGAAACTGGCATCAAAACTGCCAAAGAAATAAAAAGAGAGGGGCCAGCACTATGGTGTAACGGGTAAAAGCTGCAGCCTGCAGCACCGGCATCCCATATGGGCGCCGATTCTAGTCCCAGCTGCTCCTCTTCCGATCCAGCTCTCTGCTGTGGCCTGGGAAAGCAGTAGAAGATGGCCCAAGTCGTTGGGCCCCTGCACCCACGTGGGAGACCCGGAAGAAGCTCCTGGCTCCCGACTTTGGCTCAGCTCAGCTCTGGCCGTTGCGGTCATTTGGGGAGTGAACCAGCGGAATGGAAGACCTCTCTCTCTCTCTGCCTCTCCTCTCTCTGTGTAACTCTGACTTTCAAATAAATAAAATAATTCTTTAAAAAAAGAAAAAGAAAAAGAGAATGACCAAGATAACAAGGAATAGGTAATCCTAAAGGAAAGAGTGATTATTCATGAACAAAAGACAAAGTATACTCTGTACAAGGGGCAGTTGGGGCACATGGTTGAGTTCATAGAAATGAAAAATATGCCTGTTACAAAATAAACTGCCAGTAATCATCAACTGAGTCCAAAAATTTGTGTTTCGTTCTCTCAAAATAGAGTTAGTATAAGGAAGAGGTTGTTTAAGCAGGAGCCACATCTTACAGTGCTCCTTGTCCCCTCCCCTTGCATCTAGGTGGGAACAAATGATGATGTGCACCACTGGAATTTGAGCAGAAGTAACATGTGACACTTGGCAGGTCAAGGATGCTGCCAGTCAAACTTGGCTCCCCATCGCCACCTACTGGTTGAAGGCGGGGAATTGTGAGGCCTTGGGTGATGGCAGGGCCAGGTGTAGCGGCCTGCTGAACAGGGACAGCTGTGTTTCGGCAGGTACAGAAGCATGAAGCTACTGCGGAGCGTGATGGATCACTGAAACTGGGAGGTTGGTTTATTACAGCACATTCCAGTGTTTCCCTAACGCCACCAGCAAGACTGCACTTTAAAAATGAGTAAAAGTGTAGGAAGATAAGTTGAAGAAATCTCCTAGAATATAGAACAATTAGGGAGACAAATAAAAAATTTGAAAAAATATAGATGACATAAGAAACTGATCCAAAAGCTGTATGCATTAAAAAGGATTTCAGAAAGAGATAATATAGAAAACTGAAGAGAGAGAATTATCAAAGATAATACTAGAAAAAAATTTCACAGACGTTGAATTTTAAGATCACAAAGGATCAAGGAGGCCTGGATAGGGTAAAGTAATAAAAGTCCAGATTAGACTCATACAGAATTTCAGAAGATGAAGGGGCCAGCGTTGTGGTCTAGCAAGGTAAGCCACTACCTGTGATGCCAGCATCCCATGTGAGTGTTGGTTCAGGACCCGGCTGCTCTACTTCCCATCCAGCTCCCTGCTGATGCACCTGGGAAAGCAGCAGAAGATGCTGTAACTCTGCCTTTCAAATAAATAAATTTAAAAAGAAAATCCACAATCCAGTGTATGAGCAAACAAACCTCACTTCAGGGGAGAGAAGTAGATTGGCTTTGGATTCTCGGCAGCAACACTGATGCCAGTGGGCAATGGAGAAAAGAGATCCATATTTTGAAGAAAAATATTTTAAAATCTAGATTTCTAATCTAGACTCAGACACCAACCCACCAGTTGTGAGGGTAAACAAAAGTATTTCTAGACATTGAAGGGATTAGAAAATACACTTCTGTGTCCTTCCAAGTTATGGATGCCAGCAAATTGGGCGGGCAAACTCAAGGAAGCAGGGTGATGTGGGATCTAGGAAACAGGGAGTGTGGTGTGAGCTACGAGACTCTCAGGGAGCCTAATGACTGGAGCCCTGGTCTTATTAGATGAGATTATCAAAGCATCAAATAATATACAGAGGCTTTCCCGACAAGCTGAAAATCAGCTCATCCGCTCCTTCCTGCTTCGGCTGACATGTTTCCAGCCCATTCAAGTCATGTCTTCTGGGATGTGGGACCAGAGGTATTTTGTTTTGTTTTTGCTGTGTCTTGTTTGTTACTTTAGCTTCCTGTGTCCTGTGCTCACCTATGAGCCTCCAAGTCCTCCTCAGCATTTCTCCCATGATGCTGAGGGATCTTCATGCACAAAGTCCTAGTGGACGACCCTCACTTTCCAAACTTCCTGATGTAAGCATGCAGATTAGGCTCCTAGACTGATCTCTGCTCTGTGTTTCCCAGAGCTTGCCAAACATCAGTCCCTCAGTGCTCCAGGACAAAAGTCGATCTGTGGATAATGTGGAATCCTTCCATTCTCCTCACGTGGAGAGTCAGACAGTATGTTAGCATGTACAGAGCTCTGAGAAACCCTGTAGTAAAGAAACCTGGTTAACCTCCTGTGGTGGGTGAAAGGAAGTACACCCTTTTCCTCCATCCATTGCAAGGTTCATAGCTGAGACACCTATAATAAAAGAAAGCATATGCATTTAATAATTTTTTCCTTTTTATTAAAGTATTATGTGACCTGAGAGCCTTCAGAAATAAAAAACCAAGGAAACAGAGAAACTGTATTTTTATGGACTACCGTGCAGAAGTATGATTGGAGGACAGAAGGGTCTGACCAAATGGAAATAAACAGGAGGGAACTTAGCAAAGCCTGGGGGTTTTCAGATTCTTTTCTGTGTTTCAGTGGCTCCATTCCCTTTTTTTTTTTCTTTTTTTTTGCAGGTATGGAGAGGACCCTTCTGGGATGAGGGTCTTCTGACTCATTTTAGGGGAAGTTCAGAGAATTACTTTAAGGTTTGCTTCAGTCAGAACTGCCTGCTTTTTTTATTTTCTCAAATGCCAACATGCCATGTTTTGGGGTAAATCATCTCGAACCCTATCACTATGACATCCTTTAACATCCCAAAGGACTGGATTTTCATAGAAGACATTTTGACTAATGCTGTCTAGTAACAAAGCCAATCTCTGAGGTGGTAGGGGTGCCTATTGCATGTTTCCCTTGTAACAATTTTAGACCATAAACCATTACATATGTCAGTGAATTCTGCTTCACATCACGTTTAGAAGAGTCAGCCATTGAGTCTGTCCCTGAAGCAAGGTCCCTTGTCATCCATGCTGCCATTTCTACAGTCAGGCAAAGAGAATGGTGGGGCCCGCTCTGTGAACTGCGAGATTCCGGATGTCTTGAGCACTGTGTCTGATGCTGTGTAAAGATGACATAAAATCATGTCAAGCAACTACAAACAAATAGAGTGAAAATTACATACACGCCAAGGGAGCAAAAATAAATGGGGTGACCAGAACAATATATATGCGGAAGCTCAATAAATATTTTTGATGGTGACATGATGGTGATTCAAAATCAAGAAGCTCAGATGCAGGGGATCCCGAGGGGGTGGAGTCAGGGCAAGGCACTGGGACTCGGGAAATGAGAATTGACAGTGAACACGGTCTTGTGTGAGAAGGCGCTCCTGTTCCTTGCCTTTCGGCAGCTTTTCCTAGCATGCGTCCTGCCTCTCTCTCCCTGTGGTCGCAGGAGGAGGGAGGGAGCTGTATGTGGAACATCTGGTAAATGGGGGAGATGGGACACCCTGGTTTTGCTTATCCCTTTGAAGCTGAATTTTAAAAAGGGAAATTAAATTAATTAGCTCTAATAGGACTTTGCTGCTTTCCTCACAGATCGGATATTTCCTTTTTTTTTTTTTTTTTTTTTTTTTTTTTTTTTGACAGGCAGAGTGGACAGTGAGAGAGAGAGACAGAGAGAAAGGTCTTCCTTTGCCGTTGGTTCACCCTCCAATGGCCGCCGCGGCCGGCGCGCTGCGGCCGGCGCACCGCGCTGATCCCATGGCAGGAGCCAGGAGCCAGGTGCTTTTCCTGGTCTCCCATGGGGTGCAGGGCCCAAGCACCTGGGCCATCCTCCACTGCACTCCCTGGCCACAGCAGAGGGCTGGCCTGGAAGAGGGGCAACCGGGACAGAATCCGGCGCCCCGACCGGGACTAGAACCCGGTGTGCCGGCGCCGCTAGGCGGAGGATTAGCCTAGTGAGCTGCGGCGCCGGCTCGGATATTTCCTTTTGTAACACTCACCGTGCGGTGAACATTTATCACTTGGCTTTTCTATTCCTGTGCCCATGAAAGGTGGTGTGTGTGGTGGATACAGTAACCGTGGTGTCAGACAGACTTGTGATTGAATCCAGGTCACTCAGTTGCCATAACTGAGCTAGTAATAGATTAGCCATGTGCCTTTGTTGAACCTCAGCATATTTGGTTATGAAATGAGATAATATTGCCCTCACAGTGCAAATATGAGGATTAAATAAAATAGAATGTTTAGTACACTGGCAAGCACACAGTAAATAGTAACTTTCACTGGTGGTTCATGTGCTGTCTTTCAAACTATCCCCTTGAGGGCCTGGTGTCTACCTTTGTGTCTTTGTTATCCCAGACATGGAGCCTTGGACATAGCACACATAACAATTAATGGTTAATTGGTAATCTAAGGTTATGCTGACACAGTTTAGGGGGAAATGTGGGCAGTTATCCATTTAACCTGGAAAATTTAGTTCTTCAAATGAAGTTTTTGTTATGGTCTAATTTGGTTATCTGCCTTAATTAACATTCAAATAATGGCCACATCTATCATTCTTGAAGACTGATATTGGTGCTTTTGCCCCCTATTCTGTGCAAACGGATCCATTTCTTTGCTTCAGTAATCTAGAATCTCATTTGCTTCTACTGCATTTCTCTGTGGGGGAGGAGGGTAAGAATGAAGGTTCCCTCCAGGGGGCAGAGTTTTCCAAGTTGACCACTGTATTTATTGGACTGAGCAGCCAACTTGGTCCTCAGCTCTCTGTCAACGGAGCAGCCTGGGCGGGCAGGAATGTATTAATGAAGAGCTCAAGAGCCCGTCCATCACCTGGACAGCCACACACATTCACAATCCAGGCAACATGTAGAAAAACACGTCTGGATGATGGACTGCATTTTCCACATTCCAGCTGGACCTCTGCACGCCGCCACATAGACAGGGGCCTCAGGGACTTGCAAAGCAACAATCGATGCTGCTGTTGATACGCCCAACCCACAGGGGAGTGGTGCGGGGAGATGAGTGGCAGCAAGGGCGCCTCCTTGGGAGTCTGGCGGACCCTTCTGCCTGCCAATCACAGCAGTGATGTGGCATCCGCCACCCCCCACCCAGCAAGGCTTAATGGCTGCACGCTGACTTAAAAACACAGTCCCCAGAAAGGCATTAACATTCTGAGCTCAGCTGTGTCACCGCAGTTGCCATAGCAATGCTGGGAAATATATTTTGTGTCCAATGGTTATTTCTCCACACTAATGAAATGGACATTTTTCTTCAGTGAATTGAATCAAAACTAATTGAGTAGTAATCAGTACAGACCTTGAAGTTCAGAGAAATGTAGTCTGACTAGTGCTTTGTAGAAATGCAGAAACCATTAACTATCTTCAAATGAGGTTTTTTTTTTAATTAGTGGAATCTTAGCAACCTATTACAGGCGGGTGTGAGTGTTATCACACAAAAAACTCCTCATTTGTTTAGTGCTGGGAGGGGAAATTTATTTTCAATTAATTCCAGGGCTGATAGCATTCTGTGGTTTGTTGTACCTTGTCCCCCCAATAAATAGCACAAATGGAAATGTATTCCTAGATGGGATTTTTATATATACATATATATGTGTGTGTGTGTATAGACACACTCACATACATATATATATACACACACATATATATATTCTACATATACATACATCTATATAATTCATAATTTGGGTTTTCACTTAGAAAGGATTGCTTTTTGCTGAGACCAACTATTCCTGAAACGTGTTGAGCAGTGGGAATGATAAAGTGATTTTTTGGGGCAGGGGAGGTGCCTGTGTCTTAGAGCTAAGTCTATCTGAAATTGCACTATGATGGAGAAAATGACACAGATGTCTGGAAGTCATTTAGGGACATCATTATGCTCAGATGTATCTACGAAGTTCACTTGATTTACTAATTCTTCTTGCTTCTGCTTGGATCATGGGTTTAAACAAATAAACTTGTATAAACCCATCCCCTGCCCATGCATGAATACTCTACTTCCAAGGATATCACATAGTGTCCTACTATCAGTAGGTCTTCTCCTTTGAATATGGGCCCGATTCACAACCAAGAGGTGCAAATGAGAGGCCCTTTGTTTCACTGTGATAGACTAGAAAACGTCCCCCGGAATCTAAATTTGAGACAGCTGACTTGTCAGGTGTGGTGTGACAGTGGGGTGCATTTGTTCTCAACTGCAGATGTTCTGATTCTGATTCTCTTCCATCGGGAGTTTGCCGAGATGGTCTGAGCTGTCTCGGTATCACCAGGCTTTGGGTCAGCAGGAGTGCCCGTCCTTTTCTCCCTGCTATCCAGCATGGGGCTGAATCTAGGGGTTGGGAGGGTGCAGGATTCCTGACCTTGGCACAGGCAGCCTAGCAAGGCTGACTTCTTGGGGTTGGGATCAAGGCCAGGTTCAGGCAGGTGGAGTTTGAGAAAACTGCACTCCAACATTTGGCAGATAGATAAACTGATGAGTCATTTCCCTGGGACCCAGAGTCTAATGCGTCCAACTAGCACTAAATTCACATTAAAAATGGATTGTGCCTTAATTTTTAAGCACCGCCAGACCTGAAGGCACATGTTAGCATTTCCTTGAGGTGAGATAAAGCTGCCTGAAGTCTCTGTCTCAGCTGGTGGGCGGGACACGGTGGGGGGCAGGCACTCACCTCTCCACACGCACTTTCTTCTTTTGAAGCCTGTGGGTCTGAACGTGGGAGAAGACACTCTCCTGTCACAACAGCGACTTGAATGAATCACAGTGGGATTAGGGAGTCGAAAGGCAAGAAATGCCGAATTTCGAGGAGTTGGGGTGGGGGGTCAAAAGAGGATAGAGTTTCACTAGAAATAAACACAGTAAGGTGGCAGGGCAATAGAAGACAGTGGATTTATGGTTTATGACATTCCTAAAATATCTTTATTTAATAATGAAAACTTCATTATCCGGGCCTTGGTTGAAGTGCTGCTGTGGGCCCTCAGAGGATCCTAGCACAGATCTTTCATCTTGACAGAAGGTCTAAATTACAACATTAGTGTTCTAACCGAGAGCCTGTTATTGCCTATTTGGTCTGTCCAGGGAAATGAGACACACATGCAGGAGAGTGGGTTATTGAAATCTAATAGCTTGGAATATTAAAAATGGGGGCTGGGTTCGGGAGAGATCTCTCCCTTGCTCTGTCTTTCTTTCCCCCTGAGCTGGGGATAAATTAAGTGATAAACCTAGGATGTTTACCAAAGTTTCATTATTTTTCAGGAAAAAAAAGTAATTCATCTTTATTATGGCCAAAGCCATTATTGTGTTTCACATCATTAAGAAAGCAACGTAAGGAGACCCCTTAAGCTAATTTTCACACCAGCTATATGAACCTATTATGCCTTCATTTTCATCCCAGCTACCTCTGCCTCCTTTTCAGCTGTACAGCCTGACCTCCAAAAGTGTGTTTGGTTTTCAGATGTTTCAAAGACAATTAGGTCTAACTGGCTCCCAGTGTTTGACTAACGGTCAGAACAGATAGCTCTCCAGACCACTGTTCAATTTTGCTCCTTCTGGCAGGGCAGGAAAACGGCCTACCTGGGCTGGTACAGTTGCAAGAGGGCCACGCGGGTGCACCCAGGGCTGTGCAGTCATCTCCTCTCTTGGCTCCCTCTCTTTTGCTCTTTACTGCCACACCTTCCTCCTATACAAAAATATCTTCCTTCATTTTCTGTTGACTGTCTGTAAGGCCAGTGGCACCAAAGTAAAGGCAGCTGCCTATCTTACTAAATAATAGCAGTAATAACGCCTTGGAAAGTGCCTGCAATATATGATCTCTTGTAAGCTTTACAGCCATCCGATGAGGTCAGTCTCACCATTATCCACACTTCTAGTTTAAGAAGCAAGTGTCAGAGAGGTCAGGTGACTGAGCCAAGCTTGCACAGTGCTTACACTGCAGCCTTGCTTCCTGAACTCGTATCTTTCCACTGCAAAGCCCAGCCACGTTGTTCTTAACCCCGACTATCCCGTATTGCCTCCTGTATACAGTAGTGCTGAAAGTTTCCTCCTGCTGAATTATCCCTGAATCCCCGACTCCGCCGCTTTAAGGCTTTAAGACAAAATCACAACCAGCCAATCTTTGGTGTTAAAGACCTGTTAGGAATCCCTTATAACGTGGAAATGAAGCCCTGTGGGTGGAGTAGCAAGTTACCTGCCTGACCTTGGTCAGAGATGGTATGACACTTGAGTGTGGATAGCACTGCACAACAATCTATTTCTTCCAGAAATACTAAATGAGATACAGTATCAAGCATGTCTTTTTATACTATAGTACTACACAGGGCCCTGTCCTGACAGATGAGTTATCATTTTTTAAAAAGATTTATTTACTTGAAAGCCAGAGTTAAAGAGAGAGGGAGAGACAGAGAGAGGTCTTCCATCCACTGGTTCACTTCCCAAATGGCCACAATGGCCAGGACTAGGCCAGACCAAAGTCAGGAGCCAGGAGGCCAGCAGCTTCTTTAGGATCTCCCTTGTGAGTGCAGGGACCCACACACTTCCGCTGCTTTCCCAGGCGCCTTAGCAGGGAGCTGGATCAGAAGTGGAGCAGCCAGAACTGGAACTGGCGCCTCTATGGGATGCTGGCATTGCAGGCAGCAGCTATACCTGCTGCCCCACAACACTGGCCCCGACCCGAGTCATCATTATGAAGATCTGGAACAGTTTTCACAGATCAACAGCAGAACTGTAGATAACTCAGTTGATTGGCAGATAGCAAGGTCCTACAGGATTACAAAGCAGGCCAGGCCAGTGTTGCTAGTGAAAGATCAAGAAAGGCCCTCAGCCCCAGGCACAAGCGTAGAGAGAGAGAGTAGAGAGAAAAGCGCTTCCGCAGGAGTCTTAGGCAGGCAGAGAAATGGGCATTTTGTGTGTGAGTGTGTGGGATGGGCACAGGTTAGGGAAGGGAATGGGCCTGAGGGTGAGAAGACGGAAGGCAGGGATCACTGACAGCCAGAAAGCAGTGCACAGAGGATGGGCCTCCTCTTCTTAACTCAGGGCAGGCCTAGGCTCTCACCCAGCGGTTCCCAAACCTGGTCCAGGCTCGGAAGGAAGACTCTGGGATCTTCCCATGTACCCACACAAGACTTTAAGTTAGTAGACTAAGGTTGGTAGTCAACTTGTTCCTCTATCCATGGAGGTCACTTTTTTATTTTACAAGAAATCTCCAATGCCTGGAAGAATGCAGACATTCATACTCTTTTTTTTATTTGACAGGTAGAGTTACAGACAGTGAGAGAGAGAGAGAGAGAAAGAGAGAGAAAGGTCTTCCTTCTGTTGGTTCACTCCCCAAATGGCCACTACGGCCAGCGCTGCGCCGATCCGAAGCCAGGAGCCAGGTGCTTCCTCCTGGTCTCCCATGCGGGTGCAGGGCCCAAGCACTTGGGCCATCCTCCACTGCCCTCCCAGGCCACAACAGAGAGCTGGACTGGAAGGGGAGCAACCAGGACGAGAACCCGGTGCCCAAATGGGATGCTGGCGCTGCAGGCGTAGCGTTAACCGAGTGAGCCATGGTGCCAGCCCCGACATTCATGCTCTTTGCACAGCACTCTGGGTGATATTCACCATGTGCTCAGCACAGGGCCCATGTGGACGTTCTGTCTGCACTCCTCGTCCATCCCACACATCCTGCCCTTCTTCCTCCCTGTCACAGTGCACCTGACTAACTCCTACTCACCCCACAGCTGTCCGGGCAAGCATCTCGGTTAAGTTTGAATGTTTATCTCTTCCCAAATGTATGCTGAAGTTTAACTGCCAGTGTAGTGGTATTGGAAGCTGGAGCCCTGGAGAGGTAACTGGGCCATAAGGGTTCAGCCCTCAAGGGTGGCTTTCATGTCTTTACAATGGGCTTTGGCTGCTCTTCTGCCGTGTGAGGAACAGCCTTTCTCTCCTCTGGGGGATACAGTGTTCAAGGTACCATCTTGGAAACAGATTGGACTCCTAGAAGATGCAAAACCCATCAGCTCCTTGATCTAATACTTCCAGCCTCAAGAGCTGTAACAAACACATTTCTGCTCTTTATACATTACCAGTCTCGGGTATTCTGTTACAGCATTTCTGCAACCTGCTTGAAGAACAACTTTTCCCTTTCTCTGTCAACTGTGTCTCCTGAACTTGGGTCCTGCCTGCTGAAGACCGTGGACGTGAGTTGCAGGCTGTCCATGGAGTTGAGGTTTTTGTCTCTGGCCAGCTCAGGATGTTCCCCAAGGTGTTATCGTCCATCCTGAGGCAGTTTGCTGGTAGGAGCAGTAACTAGGCTGCTGCCAGTGCCACGGAGAGCCATTCTTGCAGGAATCGGCACTTCCTGGAACACATGGCTTGCCTCTGAAAATAATACCTGAGTGAGTGAGGCTCATGCCAAGGTGGGCACTGAACTTCTTCAAACAGGAGAGTGTGGTTAGCTGATTAGAGGGCATGATCCAAACCGCTGGGGTCTTCAGGATTGTGCCAGGAACTCCTTACTCCAAAATCTCAAAGCCATTTAGATAAAATAAAATGTACCAGCTTCTTTACATGGAGTCAAACCTCTGTTTGTTTATTTTAGAAGCCATTAGAAGGGGGAGAGTAGAAGTGGTCGGGAGGACTTTTCAAGGTTTGAAGAATGACTTAACCTGGAGTTGTGCTTTTTCTAGTTATGTTCATATCCTGCCTTTGCCACTGGTCTTCCCTTAGGAAAAACACAGAAACAGGCGGAGGTACCAGCTGTTGGGCAGAAGAGGAGTTGTTTTCCTCTGGGGCCCAAATAAAGAGTTCAGTCTTGTAACAAACACCTCCATTCTCTAGTAGTCTCGTGTTCCCCGGATCAGTTATTTATGCTGGCGGGTGCCTTCATTTCCTTGTGGACCAGGAGGCAGAGGTTGATTGGGGACTGGACTCTGCATTCTATTTTGAGCGTAGACTCTCTCCATCACTGAGTGGGTTCCCCAAGCCTTTATAATGTCACACAACCTGGTAAATCTTTGCAACCCACTGACCCCTATAATTCCCCAGGTTATAATCTTATTGCTATCTTATCTTTGAAGATGAGGGGGTCATGCCCTATGAAGCAGAGTGGGGATGAGTTACTCTGAATGACAGAAATTTTAAGGGCATGTCTGATGTTTGGATGTACCCTAACATAAGCAGTTATAGAAAGCTAAGAATCATCCCCCAAATTCTTTCTGAGTTAAACCTGATGCAACATAGGTAGGTGTACTCCTAAAAAGATGGCTTTTTAAGAATGAGCCTGATAAAATAGGTTGGCTTTGGAGATGAGATCTTATTTCTTTTTTGGATGGGATACAAATAGTTTGAGCTGTGAATACAGACCTATCATGTTTTCCATGATGCTTAATGAGTATATGAAAACCCCGACTGGCACTTATTTAGCCCCAAGTATGACAATCTCCTTAGATTTTGCACCCTAGACACATCTCATCCAACCCTGTGGAATATAACTGATGTGAGGTGTGGCACGAGTAGACAATAAGCGGACTCTGACGCACTCTTTTCTTCAACCTCAACTGATTAAATTGGCAAGAGCAGGCGATGCCCTCTCCTCTCTGCACATCCCAGATTCTTCAGTGTCTCCATTCTCCTCTGGATCTCAAAGTCTGATGCACAGCCAGGGGCCCCGCTAGGACAAGTTCACGTGAAGCTGGGAAGAGTAAGACTTCTGGTCTTTAGGCAGAGCCCAAGGAATTGCAACGTTTGAAGATGAGTCTTAGATGCCATCCATCTTCTCCAGCAGGGTGAGCAGCCAGGTGGCAAATTTCAGCCCTGGTTGTAGGGCACTGCAGTTTTAACAAATTCTAAGAGTATAATTTGAGTGCTTAAGAACCTTAAGTTGATAGTTCAGTGCACCATTCTTAAGACTCTAGTGTACAATTTAGTTCTCACAAAGTCTTGAGTTAGGGAAGGTGGGCTTTTCAAGAACTGCTTTTGGGGTCCCGTTAGCGTGAGCCCCTTGCCTGAAGTGACGTGGGAAGGTGAGACTGCCTTGTGTTAAAATTATGCTTGTCACTGACGGTGGATGCCCTTTCTGACTTGGTTTTCTTATCTGTGATATGTGACGAATACATATATACATTGTATGCATAGTAAGCTCTCAGTGAATGTTATGCAGCAATGTTAGCTTTATTTCAGTGACCACATGGAAGAGATGTCTATAAATTATGTTGTAAGGTAGTCTATTATTACTGGTAATGGGATGATTTTGCGTCACAAAAGAATGTAACACAAAAGAACTTCAAACAGTATACCTTCCATTACCTTTAAAATATGACATTCTCCAAACTAATTTACACTCTTTATTTAGAAACACGTTTGTGTAGAGCAGCACACACCTGAAGTATATATTCACAGCTTGCACTACAGAAACTCAAGTTGAGAGACAGGAACACGCTGAAAGAACTAACACTGATAGAGTCCCTACTCCCATTATGGTGTTAATTCTTTTAAAGAGTCATATCTGGAGTCTATTCTTATCCCCCTTTTGTAGATGAGGACATCAAAACTCAGAGGACTAAAATTTTCCAAGATCAAAAAGCTAGAGGGTGACAGAACTGCGACTTGAATCAATTTCTGTCTACACTTATCTTAGTGGACCACAGAACTCTTGGCAAGAGAGAACATTATTTCTTTTCATAATCCTTTCCTGTCTCCCCCTGGTAACCCTGTTCCCCTCCACCAATGCTAGTCTCCGAACTCTCACTCAGGGACCCGCTCTGCTCTCAAAGGAGGAAAACACATCCCACCATCTCAGGAGAGCGTTCTTTTGGGCTGTGCGGGAACAGCATGATGAACAATAGGAAGCAGGGAGACAGTTCTGTGGAGCTGCTTAATTAAATCGGCTCAAGATAATGGTAGATCTTGAAATGGGAACACATCCATTAATGCTGTTATTATTATCAAGGACAGGAATGGCCCATTGAGGATTGATGAGAGAATAAACTGTCCATATGCTACGAACCATAAGGAAACAATTGATAGGAAAAACCTCAACGAGGAACTTTGGATGGGATTGATAATGCATCTTCCACGATAAAACACACACACACAGTGAAGGGGATGTGTGCTTGGCATCTGGTTAATCAATGAACTGTGAAGGGACTGAGGCAATAAAGTGAGCAGGTTTCACATTAATATTATAATATGATGTGTTTATAGGACAGGGACATTCAAAAGTGATTCCAGCAGCAATGTCTAGGAACTGCTTTAATTGAGTTCTTGTTCTGCAACAGAAGCTCAGATTTCATCCATCACTCGAAGAAAGGGGTCGGAAGTAGGGAAGGTTTCAGACTTGTTTTCCCCTCTATGTGGCCTTTGAATTTCATCAGATGTAAGCTGTAGAATTCATTACGGAGCCAACGAGTATTTAGCCAGGGAGGTTGTTTAGGAAAGCACAAGCCTTGGCTGCCCTATACTCAAAGGATGATAAAATAAAATATGCATATCTTACTGCCTTCCTGAAGCCATAAGCCTGTTCCGGTTCACCAGGGATCCATCTCTGCCTGCATGATCTATAGTGTTATGGACAGAAGGGAGTTGAACGGAGCCAATTATAACCATGGAGCAAAGCCTAGGAAGAAGAGATGCAGTGTGGGCTCAAGAAATGATTTGTTGTGGAAACAGGCTCCATTAACCCCAGGGAGGGGTTAGAAGGAAAAGGTTCATAGCACAAGGGTTCAGACATGTGCTAGAGAATGTCTGGGGGGGGGGCAGGGCTACCAGGGAGGAAACAAAGGGGAGTTCCTCGCCTGGAGAATGCTCTTCCCACAGCAACCTGTTCCAAGTGAAATCAAGTGCTTTGCAGAAACACACTGGGAATCACAAATGTGCGTGTTTGGGATGTGAGATTATTCAGTGATCAGTCCTTCTTCCTAGCCTGCGGATGGCTCATGAGTATTGGTTTTTGGATCCTCACTGGTTTGCTTTGAGGTATTTTCTCTAAGCCTCTTGAGCAAGACCCTCTCCCAAAAAGCTGCTCCCCTTGCCTGTGACGCTGTGAAACTAACCCAGCACTGGACTTCTCAGTCTCCTCCAGTGGCCTTGACTAGGTCGAGGACCAGGGAACTACCCTGTAGACAAGTTCATGTTTATTTCGCTTCCTACTGCCGTGATGAGAAGGGGATTTCTTTGCACATTCCTGGAGGGGAGATATTTCTGCTCCTTTTGCCTCCTCTTCATTTGGGTCTTCTTGTAGGAATAGCGGATCTGATTGATGGGGGTGATGTGCACAGTCCTCTCTCCTTTGTCCTCTGTATTCCTCTCTGCCCGCCTCTTCCCTTCTACTTCTCTCTTTCTATCCATTTTGACTCCCCTTGAGCAGAGCACATCCCCATGAGGTCAGCACATGAGGCTTCTGTTGTTGCTGTCATTAAAGCTTATGATCTCCACACATTCTGTCTGCACCTTCCCAGTTCCTGGGAGACCTCACTACGTATCCCATTTCTTCCCTCCCCCTCTCTCCGATGGCCTCAAACCCTGCGTTTCTTCACACACTCGACTGTATTCCATCACAAGACAGTAATAACAACAACCTTCCTGGCACCGCACCGACCACACCTTGTTTCCTGCTCACCTTTTACTTTGCAGTGAAGCTCCCAGGAGGTGAAACTCTTCCCACTGCTATCTCATGGGCACTCATTTCCTAGCCCGGGCTCAGCCCAGGACAGGAGCCTTCTGGGTCCGTTCAATGTCACAAATGGCTCCTTGTTTCAGTTGCCATGGAAACCTTACCTATGCTTTTGGCTGAATTTGAATCTGTTGGTAACATCCCCTTCCCAAAAAATGCGGTTCTCCTTTAGCGTCTTAACACCATGATGGTCTCCTGCCGCTTGTATTTCTCTGAAAACTCCCCACAGACCCTCTTTATTGACCTTTCTTCCACATTTATTCTCTTGAATGTTTTTGTTCCCCTGGCTTGTGCTTTGGCCCTCATCCCATGCAAATCTCTCTTTAATTCACCTATGCATTAGATAAATGCTAGATACAGCTCAGTAATGCCACCTCTTTGTCGCAGAACTTCACGTCCAGACCACTGTGGAAGCCCATACTGTCTCCCTGCCTTCATTCTGTTCCCTTCAGCCCATTCATAGCTCTCTAAAATACAACAATGTTATGCCATATGTTCTGTCTTTAAATTGCTTCAATGGTTTATATTGTGTTTGCATAACACCCACATACTCTGGGTAGCCCATGCCTAGTGCTAACTGAGTTGCATGCTCATATTCCAATGACTTTAGCAGCACCCACAGTGTGTCCAAGCTCATGCTGGCCCGTGGGAACACAATAATGACCTAGGCAGACTTCGTCCTCTGCTCACAGAGCTTACTTATAGTTAGTGGTAGATGGTTGATTACAGTCAGTGGTGCTAAGTTCTAAGACTGAAGTACAGGTTACCATGGGAGCAGATAGCAGGGCCTCTTGACCTAGAGGGCAAGAAAGACTTCCCAGAACCATCGTGTCTAAGCTAGGAGAAAAAGGAGCTATTTCATCAAATTGCTATCCTCCCTGCAAAGGGCACTGCTACCTCCTGCTCTCTTTTCAGACACCTCCCTTCCTCTACTTCCTGCCGTCCAGCAGACAGGAAATCCTTAGCGGCTCCTGAAAAGGCCATCGTGCCTTTGGTTCTTCTCCCCAGTCAGTTCTTACTGATCCTTTAAATTTCTTCTCACTAGGTAATTTACAAAGGGCAGTAGGCTTGGTGGTTAGTGCTGGACGACAGCCGACCCGGATTCAGTCCAGTCCTAAGTTGTGCATCCTTGGGAAATTTATTTAAGCTTGTTGAGCCTCATTTTTTTAACCCGTAACAGAGAGATGATAATAGTGCTTATTGTGGGGATTCAAATATCCAACAAACAATGACACTCTTTCCCACCCAAGTTTTGAATAAATTGGAAAACACAGCAAAATAATAAAGCGTGTGAGAGGCAGACCATCTCCTTTATTAGTGATTTAGCTGATACTGAAGAATACAGCTACTGTATTTTATTGATTCTAAGATGTGCTTTCTGTCCTCATTTAATGTCTTTGAACTGAGGATGCCTTTCACAATCAATGGCATCTTTCAGTTACCGCTGGCCAGGCTGGCAGTCATGACACAGTAGTTAGTGCCTGCACACACATGAACTTCGGTTGTTCTCAGTGGCAAAACCAGGCCACAGCACCTCTTGATGTTTCTATCAATAAACTATTAAGGACCATTTAAAGAAGTAATGTAAGTTCTGGCTATTGTCTAAAAGCCTTTCTTTGACACCTTTTAAAAGATACAGTGCTAGCAGAATGGATGTTTTCAGCTTGAAAGAAAATTCCAGAGCAATGTAACTTAAAAGCTCTCGAAGGCCAAGAAGAAAATGTTTATCACAGAGATACATAACTCTGAGTCAAATATGATCCAAAACAGCCAGACTCTGAATGTAAATTTGTTGGAAATACAACAGCCAGTTATTTTCCTGTCTATAGATGCAAGAGGGATAGATCACAAGCAAGTATGTTTAAAAGAAACAATATTTTATAAGGATTAAAAAATTCAAAGTGGGGCTGGCATTGTGGCTCGGTGGATTAAGCAGCTGCCTACAAGGTCAGCATCTCGTACGAGTACCAGTTCGAGCCCTAGCTACTCTTCTTGCAATCTAGCTCCTTGCTAATGTGCCTGGGAAGGCAGTGGAAGATAGCCCCAATGGTTAGGCCCTTGCCACCCATGTGGGAGAACTCGATGAAGTTCCAGGCTCCTGGCTTCAGCCTGGCCCAGCCTGGCCCAGCCCCACCTATTACAGACCTCTCAGGAGTGAGTTAGCAGATGGAGGGTACCCTCCTCCCTCTGTAACTCTCACTTTCAAATCAATAAATGATTTTTTTAAAAAAATTGAAATGTTGGAGCAGAACGTATTGTTTAATTGTCAGTGTTTTTCTTTCTTTGTGGCACATAAAGTGATGATATCACCTCCAATTGAAGGTGCCTTCCATGAGGTGAAATACAGTGTTTCTAGAAGCAAGTAGGTTACCAAATGCTGAACCATAGAACTCAGCAGACTTATTCATGAGGGACAAGAGCAGATTGCTTTGTAGCCTGCCAACAGAGTACAATTATGATTCCCGTTGGAAGCTTATTCCTCCAAAATTGGGAAACAGAAGGAGATGGTTATACAAATCCAATTCATTCTTCCAAACTCACAATTCACATTAAGTCATTTCTTCTCCCTGAGAGGGGCTAGAGAGAGTTTAGGATCATTGCATGTTTGCCGGTTTTCCTCTAGAGGAGGGAAACCTCAGAAGGAAGAAGCCATGGCCATGTGTACCCGTAGCTGTCTCATAGGTTTGATGTGGAAGTGAAACAGAGCGTGCACAATACTGCTTAAGGTCTGCCAGCATTCGGTGTAGATGATGAAAGTTCAGTGTCATTCTGAGTCTTGTTGTGTCAAGGACTCTTTTATTTATTTATTTATTTGCTTCCCTGCCCTTTTGGGAACACCCTCTTCCCTTTTAACCTTATTGTTCTGAAATTTCAAATTGTGTCTAGGTGTGGGCCTTTATTTCTTATTTAAACTACTTAGGATTTTGTTTGGCACTTCTATTTTAAGATGGTCTCTTTATTCAATTCTGGAACATTTCTGTTATTTATTTGCCAATCTCCTGTCCATTGCTTCTCTAAATTCCTGGAACTCCTCTTAGTCAATTCTAGATCTCCTGGATTGAATGGTTGTCTCTTCTCTTTTTAAGTTTTTATGTTTACATTTTTTGAAACTGTCCAATCCTTCAATTTCTAATAGTTTTCTTTTTCATCGGATCTTGCTCTTATTTTACAGCTCCCCTCCCCCATCTCTCTGTAGACTTCTGGCCAGGCTGGAGGAAGTGAGAGATGTGAAGCAAAATGGGTTTGGTGCACAATCAATTCTCCTGAAGTGGTCCTGAATGTTTTCTCAGTGGTGTGATGGTCGCTGGGATCACTGCTTCCTGGAGCAATAAATCTTGTGATGGTGACTTGAAAAGTTACTACTTTCTGGTGCTGCTGTTCTTCAGGGAACTCAGAGTTAGAAAGTTCCTTCGACTTTTTTGGCTTCTTGGGTTTCCCAGTACCAGCACATATTTGAGAAGACTTCGAGAAGGTCATGGAAATGCACAGTATGAAAAAAACCTGTGGCTTTAAAATTTTTGCACCAAATAAACTTTTTTTTTTTTTTTTTATTTTTTATTTCACAGGCAGTGTGGACAGTGAGAGACAGAGACAGAGAGAAAGGTCTTCCTTTGCCGTTGGTTCACCCTCCAATGGCCGCCGGGGCCGGCGCGCTGCTGCTGGTGCACTGCGCTGATCCGATGGCAGGAGCCAGGTGCTTCCTCCTGGTCTCCCATGGGGTGCAGGGCCCAAGGACTTGGGCCATCCTCCACTGCACTCCCGGGCCATAGAAGAGAGGTGGCCTGAAAGAGGGGCAACCGGGACAGAATCCGGCGCCCCGACCGGGACTAGAACCCGGTGTGCTGGCGCCACTAGGCGGAGGATTAGCCTATTGAGCCGCGGCGCCGGCCCAAAATAAACTTATCTTTTAATTGCATTTTCCACAAACTTTTTGAAGTAATTTTGTATTTATGTACAGAATAGCTAACATGTTATTGATTTCCTATATTTTCACTTGCCTTGATTCAATAACCAATCATAATGTTCATTCAAGACCTATCTGTTGAATGATTTCATTTACTTTTTTTTAAGATTTATTTTATTTATTTGAAAGAGTTACATAGAGAGGTAGAAACAAAGAGAAAGAGAGAAAGAAGAATAGAGGGAGAGAGAGAGAGGTGCTCCATCCGCTGGTTCACTCCCCAAATGGCTGCACTGGCCGGAGCTGAGCCGATCCAGAGCCAGGAGCCAGGAGCTTCTTCTGGATCTCCCAAGTAGGTGCAGGGGCCCAAGCACTTTAGCCATCTTTCTGCTGCTTTCCCAGGGCACATCAGCAGGGAGCAAGATCAGAAGAGGAGCAGCCAGGACTTGAACTGGCACCAATATGGGATGCTGGTGCTGCAGGCCCAGGCTTTAACCCACTGCGCCACAGCTCCAGCCCCATGATTTCATTTAAATTAATGTCAGTAATTAATTACCAAATGCCTGTCCAGCTAACTACCCAGCATTGTGTATTGTTAAAAATAAGAACAACAATATGAGCAACCAAATAGTGTAAATCCCAGTCAATGCCACTGTGAAATTTAGAGTTGAGTAAGGGAATTAAATCAGCCCATGGGACAAAATTCGAGAACGATAGAAGCCAGTATTCAGAGAAGTGCAGTTTTATGATACCAAGTGCTATAATAGCTCAGAGAACGATGTCGCTGGATGGCAGGGTATTTGGGGCTGGCTTCAGGGAAGCTGAGGACTTTGAAGGGGACATCCACACCCAGGGGCAGCCTGTGGCAGAGCTGCAGAGGGATGACACGGGCAGGCCTGACCTTCACTCCCTCACCATTCATGTCACTCAGGCAGGGCTGTTTACATCACACCTTTTCCCTCCAGCCTGTAGAGAAGAGGAGGTGGACTCCAGAGCACTAAGTATGCTTTGCCAATTTCTGCTTCTATCTGATACTCAAATGCAGTTTGTCATCTGCCCGTGGCCTTGCGACCTAGGGAACCAGAGGCTTTGGATGCACCTGGCTGTTTTTTCTCTCTCCTGCCCCCTGTTCTT